GCTGCTTGCTAGCACGTGTGAGCAGCGGATGCATGCACACACAGACGCTCATCGCGATAGCTTGTGCGATCACAGTGGCCTTTTGTGGCGTGCTTTTATGGACGTCAGCCCATCGAAGAATGTGTGAAGCAAACGGCTGACTGCACACGAGGAAAATAAGTGCGTGCACTGTGCCGTGTTTCAGCGTCGATGGCAGAGCGGCAGGAAGCCCGTGCTGGCAACTGAGATCTTTGCGTCGCGAGGGATGTCGGTGTTGATTTTGGGTCGTCGAGGGTGAAATGATTTTGCTGCTGCCCGTGTGTGTGGCCACTCCGGCAGAGGGCGAACGCAAACGGGATGGATGCAGGCGCTGCGTGTGTGTGTGTGCAGGTGCCATGCAACAACGTCACAACAAACATGCTGCGACTCGGTGACCCTCACATCGTTGTGGTCCTCACGAACTGCCGAGGCACGGCCCACATCGATGCGCTTAGTGGACGGAGTGAGGCATCTTTTGAGGCGCTGCAGGGAGCAGGATGTGTTGGCGCAGCCACGACGTGCATGGAGTGTCACGATGGCACAGTCAGCCGTGGCTGGTGGAATATTTACTTCTCGGAGGCAACAGAGAGAGAGAGAGAGAGCTGCTCCTGCTGCTGGCGTCGTTGCTGCCTTTTGTGGCCTCCCATGCCGATTATTGTCTGTCCGCTGATCATGGGTGGCGTGCCTCCACTAGTGACGTCCTCTGCAGGCATTTCACAGCACCAATGAAACACACATCACGTCGCATGCTTTGGCTGTGGATGTGGTGTCGTGAATGCAGCCGGCATTATTTTGCCCGACTCCTTTTCACTGCTCTGCGACGAATAGATGCGTCCCCGCCCGAGTCATTCACTGCAGCTCCGTGTGTTGTGCTGCCAGCACAAGACTCTCCTGTTGTCTGACGCCTGGCTGACAGTCAAACACCACTGCGTTGGGACATGCAGGGATGTGGACTGCCGCTCACGGTGTTGGGCACCGCTGTTTGGATGCGGCGGCCACACGAGCGGATGTATTGTGGCACAATCAAATGCGTGAAATACGCGGAGTCACAGCGGCTGCAATAATATCAGCGGTGTGGCACCACGGAATGTGTGAGAGGGTGATGCATGATGAATCACAGTGGGCGGCATGCGAGGGAAGTGCACCGCGACGGAGCGTCATCCCGCCCTCAGCCTGCAGGGGAATGTGCACCCACAAAATATATGGACGAGACACCACCAAACACACATGCCCTTCCATGCACCAATAAATAGGAGCGATCGTGCGTTCTGGTGCGTGGGAGTCCACTCACATATTATTTATTTCCACCGCAATAAACGGTGAGGAATCATGTGCCGCGGCAACGAAAGGAAACACAAACGTCTATTGCAGCACCTTACCAGCGAAAAGCAGGAACAACACAAACCGAATTATTGGCTGCACCAACACAATAAAAATTCTCAAGAGAAGAAAACGGTTGTGCACACTGCAGGAATCCCCAACACACGATCCAGGCATGAAGGTTTATCCTCTGGAAAAACAAAACAAAACGAAAAAAACATGTGCACATATCTGCCAACATCCAAAGAGAAACACAAATAAATGGTTGATTGCTTTATTCCATTCCCTGCGCTTATTTTTGCGCGTGCGGCTGCTGCGGTGGTGGCCGTGCCTGCATGAAGTGGTCTGCGATGAATGTGGACGAAGGCATACGGCAACTGAACTGTTTTTTTGGTGAATATTGGCTGCACTTCCCGTGGACCAACAATCCACGTGGTGTGCGTGGATCTCCTTTTTTATTGTTACTTTGCTTTTGTGTTGCTGTGTGCGCTGCATCTCCTCTTGTGTGTGTGCGCACCCTCCGTGAGGGGTGCAGACACGACGGACCGCTCTCGCCGTATGTACATGCGGTGGAGCCTTGTGTGCCGCTCCTGTTTGCTTCTCCCTCTTCCATCCGTGTGTTGGTGTTGCGGCAGGGCTGTGTGTATGTGTGTGCCTGCTGCCGTGGGTTGGAGTGTGTGTCGTGCGTGGTGTGCGGCGTACGGTGCATGCCTGGCTGCTGCCCTCTCCTCATGTGGTGTGCCCTCTGTGTGTGTCTGCTGCACCTCTCGTCTCCCCTGTTGCTCTCCATGTCCCTCACTGTGCAGATCAGCTCCACACCACTGAACGACCACACTCACGATGATGACTTGCCGTCTGCTGTGCGCCCTGTTGGTGCTTGCCCTGTGCTGCTGCCCGTCCGTGTGCGTTTCAGAGAAAGCTGCCGCTTCTTCAAAGGTGACCACAACACCGGTACCAACTAAGCCTGGAGCTAATGGAAGCGTTACCAGTCAATTGACCCCCCCATCAGTGACACCACAGGAGACCGGTCAGTCAGGGTTGTCAAGTAAGGAGCCGGTTGTGGAAAGAGAAAAAACTGTTGGAGGGGGAGAAGTTTTGACCGTTCAAGAACCGCCAACAGTTACGGAAGATCCGAAAGAAGTTAAGAACGGCATGACTGGGCCAATAAGTGGCAACAACCCCCCCGCAAAACAAACAAATAAGGAGTCTGAAGCTTCTGCTCAGACAACGACCACGACGACCACGACCACAACACAGGCACCAAGTACTACGACTACAGAGGCGCCAGCTGTGTCGACCACCCGCGCACCGTCACGTCTTCGCGAAATCGACGGCAGCCTCAGCAGCTCTGCGTGGGTGTGTGCCCCGCTGGCTCTCGCCGCATCCGCGCTGGCGTACACCACTGTGGGCTGAAGAGGTGTGTGCGGGCTGTGCGTGCCAGCACTCCAAGCCACGGGGATTTGTGCGCGTGTGTTGTGGCTCACTGTATAAAATAAGGGAAATAATGGTTGTGTTTTGCTTCACTTGCTTCCGCTGCCGTGCTGTGTGCTCCGCGTTGTGCCCCGCATCCGTCACGTTGAACGCATCGCGGACACACTCATGTGCATGCGCACTGGAGCCCTGGGTTTGTTTTTCTTTTCTTTTTTAATTTCTGTTTTTAATTATTGTTTTTCATTGCTTTTTAAACTTGTGGTTTGCGGGGCGGTGTGCGAGCTCTGCAATCGTACTGATTCCATCTGTCTCGTGGTGTGTGCGCTGCTGCTGCTGGGGTGCTGCCATTTGTTGCTGTGCGGTGGCTGTGCGTGGTGTAGCGGCCGTGTCTATCTTTTTGCTTCCCTCTCTGTTGACGGGGATTTACTTTTGCTGAAGGCTGCACGTAAGTGACAGGAGTGATGGCAATGATGACTGGCCGTGTGCTGCTGGTGTGTGCCCTCTGCGTGCTGTGGTGCGTGTTTTCTTCGGTGTCGGCCGATGCCAGGGATGATTGTGAGGATTCCGGCCAAGGTGTTGTTGGGAGTGTTGGTCAACCTTCTTCCCCAGTTGCGGGTCATGGTGATAATGGAGTTGTCACTGATGGAAGTTCTCTGAGCAGTGGAAGTCACTTGCCGGGTTCTGCTCCTACGGGTGGCAAACCCCCACTTCCCGGTGTTGGTGAGGGTGTGGGTTTAAATGAATCTAAGGATGCCTTAACTCTTGCAAAAGAGGGGCGTGAAGTCGTACAGGATCAGCATGAATTAGTGCCTCAAGTTTCGCATCACACTGATGCGGGAACAGGAGGGAAAGGCGATCTCAATGCGCCAGAACAGTCGCCCAACGCAAAAACGGAATTAGAAGATGGTGGTGGTGTTTGTGGTGATGATGCTGCAGCTGCGGAGGGTGAAGTAAAAACCACCGTGAATGAAGGACAATTGGGCGGATCTTCCACGAGCGACAGCCATCCACCAGCAGCAGACCGAGGGTCGAGGGAGCAGGAAGGCACAGTGGAACAAGCATCATCAACAGCGGCATTGACGCCAGTGGTGGGGCGAGAAACACCACCTAAGGGGGACACAAACGAGGACTCACCGGAGGATAAAGCCGCAACTGGCGCAGGTATCACACAAGATATACCAGCTGTCAGTCAACAACAAACACATTCTTCATCCACCTCTACAACTGGAAATGGTCTGACTTCCACTCTAGGAAAAGGGCGCGCTCCGGAGGACATTTCCAGCAATAACGAACGATCCGGTAAAGCACTACTGCAAGAAGGAGCGGAACATGAAACTGTTGCTGGCAGCCAATCGCAAACAATACCAGCAGCCACCGCCCGTAACACACTTGGCACAACCCTTTCTGGCGACAGCGACAACAGCACCACGATAACTACAGCCGTGCGGTCTGACACTGGCACAGAAGGCACTCCAACCAGCAATCATCCGAACCGAAAATCCATTGAAGGCGCCACATCACCCGGCATGAATTTCGATGGTGAAGCTGCATCAACCAAAAAATATGATACGGTATCTCAGAGTGCGGGATCCTCAACAGCGCCAACCACAAACAACAAAACACGTGACACAGCTTCTCATGGCGACCGTGACAGCAGCAACGCGGTCTCCCACACCACCTCCCCTCTTTTGCTTCTTCTTCTTGTTGCGTGTGCGGCTGCGGCTGCGGTGGTGGCCGGGCCTGCATGAAGTGGAGTGCGCCGAATGTGGACGAAGGCATACGGCAACTGAACTGTTTTTGTGATGAATATTGGCTGCACTTCCCGTGGACCAACAATCCGCGTGGTGTGCGGGGATCTCCTTTTTTTATTGTTACTTTGCTTTTGTGTTGTTGTGTGCGCTGCACCTTCTCGTGTGTGTGCGCACCCTCCGTGAGGGGTGCCGACACGACGGACCGCTCTCGCCGCATGTACATGCGGTGGAGCCTTGTGTGCCGCTCCTGTTTGCCTCTCCCTCTTCCATCTGTGTGTTGGTGTTGCGGCAGGGCTGTGTGTGTGTGTGCCTGCTGCCGTGGATTGGAGTGTGTGTCGTGCGTGGTGTGCGGCGTACGGTGCATGCCTGGCTGCTGCCCTCTCCTCATGTGGTGTGCCCTCTGTGTGTGTCTGCTGCACCTCTCGTCTCCCCTGTTGCTCTCCATGTCCCTCACTGTGCAGATCAGCTCCACACCACTGAATGACCACATTCACGATGATGATGACGTGCCGTTTGCTGTGCGCCTTGTTGGTGCTTGCCCTGTGCTGCTGCCCGTCCGTGTGCGCGTCAGAGGATAAGTCTCAAGCCGCCACTTCTTCCCAGACGAACACGACGACCACAACCCCGGCATCAATCTTGACACCTGCTCCGAAAGGTGAAGGGTCGGGCGCGGAAAATGGAAATGCTGCAGGGAGGGGAGGCGGTAAGACCACTCCGCATCCGCAATCAAGTGCCACTCCCAATAAGGTACAAGAAAAAAGTACGGAAGAAAACTCAGGGACAAAAAGTGTCACGAGAACATCCACAGAACAAGCAATTAAGAATGCCGATGATTCTGCCGAGACGACCACGACGACGACTACAACAAAGGCACCAACAACGACGACCACCACCACTACAACACAGGCACCAAGTACTACGACTACAGAGGCGCCAGCTGTGTCAACCACCCGCGCACCGTCACGTCTTCGCGAAATCGACGGCAGCCTCAGCAGCTCTGCGTGGGTGTGTGCCCCGCTGGTGCTTGCCGCATCCGCGCTGGCGTACACCGCTGTGGGCTGAAGAGGTGTGTGCGGGCTGTGCGTGCCAGCACCCAACCGCGGGGATTTGTGCGCGTGTGTTGTGGTTCACTGTACAAAATAGGAGGAAATAATGATTGTGTTTTGCTTCACTTGCTTCTGCTGCCGTGCTGTGTGCTCCGCGTTGTGCCCCGCATCCGCCACGTTGAACGCATCGCGGACGCACTCATAAGCATGCGCACTGGAGCCCTGGGTTTGTTTTTCTTTTTTTAATTTCTGTTTTTTTATTTATTGTTTTTTTATTGTTTTTTAAGCTTCTGGTTTGCGGTGCGGTGTGCGAGCTCTGCAATCGTACTGATTCCATCTGTCTCGTGGTGTGTGCGCTGCTGCTGCTGGTGATTTTTAATGTGTCTCTCTTTTTGCTTCCCTCTCCGTTGACGGGGAGTTACTTTTGCTGAAGGCTGCACGCAAGTGACAGGAGTGGTGGCGATGATGACTGGCCGTGTGCTGCTGGTGTGTGCCCTCTGCGTGCTGTGGTGCGGTGCCGGCGGTGGCGGATGCGCTGAGCGCTTGGCAGCTGCTGCCGATATACCTGTTGATTCTGCGAGTGGTGGTGGAGGTTTGCTGGAAACGCCACCGCCAGTGCTGTCACGTTTACTTCCAGGAGAAACTGACGATGCTGAAGCCGAAGTTGAAAATGAAAATCAATGAGTTACTGGAGATGATGAAACAGAGAATGGGAGTGAAGAAGAAAAGTCTGCAACTGTGCTGGGCATTACAAACGGCACTCTGATTAGGCTTCAGCAGGAAGCACAACACACCCTTGCAGGAAAAACTTCGGCAGGAAACGTTGAAGTTGCTGATGTGGAAGGAGTTGGAGAAGAGGAAAAGATTGAAGATAAAAAAGGTGATAAATTCAAAGAAGATCTTGGAATCACTCCGTTGGCAGTGACTGAATCGAATCCGACTGACGAAGAGAACCCACGGCCACAGCCACCGAATGAAAAAATAAGAAGGTGAGGTGGCGAACCCCTTAAATGGCAGCTCGCCGGGACTTGGAGTTCAGCAACAAGTTTTATCGGGTTTGTTGGATGGCGCACCAGCCAAGAGTACAACGGACGCTAATCCATCGTTCCCATCTAGAGGTGGACGTGCTGTTGACAACAGTGAGGGGAGGGAGGATGGCTCAGTGATTACTGAACTGCCTGCCGCCAGAGAAGGACAAGGCAAAAAGGAATATGGTAGAAGCGTTATATCAACGACAGATGGGAGAAAACATTACAATTATCAGTGAATAAAGCCGCCAACACGAGTGATGCGGCAATAAATGACAACAGCAGAAGCAGCCCCACAGCAGCTGCGGGCCTGCAGTCTGACGATGGCTCAGAAAGCAATCCGGCCACAAACGGCTTGAGCCAACCCTCCAGTGGAAGAATCGCACAGCTCAGTACGACTCCCAATCCCAACGACGCATCAGGCACCACAGAGAATGCGACATCCCAGAGTGCAGGAATCCCAAGAGCACCAATTAACACAGCCAAAACACGTGACACAGCTTCTCATGGCGACAGTGACAGCAGCACCACAGTTTCCCACACCACCTCCCCTCTTTTGCTTCTTCTTTTTGTTGCGTGTGCGGCTGCTGCTGCGGTGGTGGCCGCGTGAGAGTGAGGGAGAGAGAGCCGTGCACCGCCCGCACACACACTCGTCCTTCACTCACTCTCTGTGTGTGTCCCCTTGCATGGACTCTCGCCCTCACCTCATCCCACGAAGCACACACATAATGTGCCCATTGTATATATTGCATGCACACCCATGCATGCCCGTTGGTGCTCTCTTTTGCGCCACACGCACCGCTGCCGTCCTGCCTGGCTGCATGGGCGGAGCACCGTAACTGTTTCTGTTTTGTTTTTATTGCCTTGAGTGGGCGACCTCTCTCTCTCTCTCTCTCCCTGTGTGTGTGTTTTGCTTTACGGGAGCAATGAGAGTGTGTGCGCTGGTCGTCCCACGCTTCGGCTTTTTGTTTTGTTTTCTGTTTTTCTTCTTTGAGTCTCTGCTTGTGTTGTGGGTGCACGCACCGATTGCACTTTTATTGATTGGTGGGTTGCTTTTTGGACGCCTGATTTTTTTTTTTGCATTCTTATACGGTTCCTCTCTTGTTATTAGTGTGTCAGCCCCTTGTGTCTTTGGCAAGCCACCAATTGCTCTCTTCCACATACACCTTGCGTCAGTGGGTCCACGTCACCCCGCGGCCTGCAGCGCTTCTTGTGCTGCTGTTGATGTTGCCTGCGTTGTGATTTGCCGGCGGTTGCCTCGTTGTCATCCTGACGTATCCCTGTTTTCTTGTCGATGTGGTGCCTGCCGACAACGCGCGGCAACTCCGGTTGTGGTGAGGGTCGTGCGTCTCAGAGCGCAGGATGCGTCGCAGGTGTGCAGCCTCGCTTGTAAGCACCGATGGGTGTCTGTCCCCGTGAAGACGTCATCAACGGCCCCGGATGGCAGCAGGAGGCACTGCGGCATTTTTTGTATTCCACAGCGACTTTATTGGACGGTACTTTTGCTTTGCAGCTCTTGCAGCTTTTGTGGGAGAAGGTGGGAGGCTGAGGGCATGAGGACTGAATTCATTTGAGCGGCTGCATTTCTTTGACTTGCGGCCAGTCGTGGCACTCTTTTGTGTTTTGGCAGCCCGTCACTTTTTTGCTTTCCACCGCAGCACGTGGAGGCCACTGATCCGAGGAACATTTGCTTGACCGAGTGTGAGCTGCTGCCGTGCGTGGTGCATGGAGTGACGACTACTTCTGTTTGGCGTGCCGCGGTATGTTGGAATGATGTTTGGAAGACTTGTGAGGGGTGTTGTTTGTAGTTTTTTTGTCTTCTCTGGTGGAGCCGACATGTGTGCGGGGATTGTGGCGTTGCTGGCTGACAGCTCCACGTCACTTTTCAGCATTCCTGGATGTGCTGAGGAATGACGGCTGGCGCCCAGCGTGTTGGTGCTGCTGGTGGGAATAAGTGCATCGGGAATAGGCCGTTTTCTCTTTTCCGTGCTGGAGCCGATGGACTGGCACGAGGGCACCGGCTGCAGGCTGCTTGCCAGCACGTGTGAGCAGCGGATGCATGCACACACAGACGCTCATCGCAATAGCTTGTGCGATCACAGTGGCCTTTTGTGGCGTGCTTTTGTGGACGTCAGTCCATCGAAGAATGCGTGAAGCAAACGGCTGACTGCACACGAGGAAAATAAGTGCGTGCACTGTGCCGTGTTTCAGCGTCGATGGCAGAGCGACAGGAAGCCCGTGCTGGCAACTGAGATCTTTGCGTCGCGAGGGATGTCAGTGTTGATTTTGGATCGTCGAGGTGAAGTGATTTTGCTGCTGCCCGTGTGTGTGGCCACTCCGGCAGAGGGCGAACGCAAACGGGAGGGATGCAGGCGCTGCGTGTGTGTGTGCAGGTGCCATGCAACAACGCCACAACAAACATGCTGCGACTCGGTGACCCTCACATCGTTGTGGTCCTCACGAACTGCCGAGGCACGGCCCACATCGATGCACTTAGTGGACGGAGTGAGGCATCTTTTGAGGCGCTGCAGGGAGCAGGATGTGTTGGCGCAGCCACGACGTGCATGGAGTGTCACGATGGCACAGTCAGCTGCGGCTGGTGGAATATTTACTTCTCGGAGGCAACAGAGAGAGAGCGGGAGAGCTGCACCTGCTGCTGGCGTCGTTGCTGCCTTTTGTGGCCTCCCATGCCGATTATTGTCTGTCCGCTGATCATGGGTGGCATGCCTCCACTAGTGACGTCCTCTGCAGGCATTTCACAGCACCAGTGAAACACACATCACGTCGCATGCTTTGGCTGTGGATATGGTGTCGTGCATGCAGCCGGCATTATTTTGCCCGACTCCTTTTCACTGCTTTGCGACAAATAGATGCGTCACCGCCCGAGTCATTCACTGCAGCTCCGTGTGCTGTACTGCCAGCACAAGACTCTCTTGTTGTCTGGCGCCTGGCTGACAGTCAAGCACCACTGCGTTGGGACATGCAAGGATGTGGACTGCCGCTCACGGTGTTGGGCACCGCTGTTTGGATGCGGTGGTCACACGAGCGGATGTATTGTGGCACAATCAAATGCGTGAAGTACGCGGAGTCACAGCGGCTGCAATAATATTGACGGTGTGGCACCACGGGGAATGTGTGAGGGGGTGATGCATGATGAATCACAGCGGGCGGCATGCGAGGGAAGTGCACCGCGACGGAGCGTCACCCCGCCCTCAGCCTGCAGGGGAATGTACGCCCACAAAATATATAGACGAGACACCACCAAACAGACATGCCCTTCCATGCACCAATAAATAGGAGCGAAGGTGCGTTCTGGTGCGTGGGAGTCCACTCACATATTATTTATTTCCACCGCAATAAACGGTGAGGAATCATGTGCCACAGCAACGAAAGAAGAAATAAAAACATCTATTGCAGCACTTTTACCAGCGAAAAGCAGGAACAACACAAACCGAATTATTGGCTGCAACAACACAAGAAAAAAATCCACAAGAGGAAAAAAAGAATTATGTACCCTGCAGTAATCCCCAACACACGATCCAGGCATGAAGGTTTATCCTCTGGAAAAAACACAAAAAAACGCATGCGGACGTCTGCCAACATCCAAAGAGAAACACAAATAAATGTTTGCTTTCTTTATGCCATTCCCTGCGCCTATTTTTGCGTGTGCGTCTGCTGCTGCGGTGGTGGCCGTGCCTGCATGAATTTGAGTACGCCGGATGTGGACGAAGGCCTACTGCAACTGAACTGTTTTTGTGATGAATATTGGCTGCACTTCCCGTGGACCAACAATCCACGTGGTGTGCGGGGATCTCTTTTTGTATTGTTACTTTGCTTTTGTGTTGCTGTGTGCGCTGCACCTTCTTGTGTGTGTGTGCGCACCCTCCGTGAGGGGTGCAGACACGACGGACCGCTCTCGCCGTATGTACATGCGGTGGAGCCTTGTGTGCCGCTCCTGTTTGCTTCTCCCTCTTCCATCTGTGTGTTG